CCGCGATTTCCAGCCCGAGCCTCGTCTGAGTGTGGCAAAAGGGCAGCCACATAAGAGAGGGGGGGTGCTGTATTGTGCATTTCTCCCCAGCTCATGAGGGAAGGCAGAGCTCCTCAGAAAGTTCTTGTGATGCTGAGCTCTTTGCCGTCAAAGACGTTTTTGGAGTGATCGTAAGTTCTTGAAGTCGATTGATCACTCACTCACTCACGGACGATCTCAGGTTGGGAATGCGTTTGAAGATCTTACGCAGTGGTACCTTGATAATGCCAAAGACAATCCCAAGATCTTTCGTGGCACTGAAAGATGCGCTTCGGGAATCTTACAAGTTCAAGTTTAATCCTTGTGTTTCGCCCAGGGATGCCGGCCTACTGAGCCAGCTCAGTGCTGGAGGGTACGTGGCGCTACTGTGTGAGATGGTTATGAGGCGAGGTTGAAAGCTGCCACGGGGTGATTGAGCACTTGAAAAGGCCAATGGTAAGTTCCTCGTGTTTAGTAGTTTTGGATGCTTGAGCAACAAAATGGCTGGCAGGCCCCTGACTCAACGCTGGTCACTCTGACTAGAAGACAATCTTCGTAGAAGCGTTGACATTCTATGTCCCGTCCACGGTATTCACAGATGTGGGTGGTTGTCAAGTTTGATAAGTGGCAGCGAACTGGTACGTTCCGTGTTTCAATATAAGGTGGCGTTCTTATGGTTGTTTTGGTGGAGTTATTCAGCTTTGCTTCTCTTACAGGATGGCATGTCTTATGCGAGACGAAACGTGGCTTGATGGTTATGCGGGAAGACCTTTGGTCCTAATGTAGGAGGCACAGCCAACGATTGGCGAAAAATAAGCAGGGACGAGTCACCAAATATATTCCAGGTTTGCTGAGATTGAAAATCGAGACAAATGCGCACTCAGTGATGGAGCCCGTAGTGCGACGATCCATGGTCGAGGTCGACTTACAACGCATTGAAAAGGAGCCAGTTCTACACTTAATGGAATGGCATGTGGATCCAAACGCACACGCGTGTACATTCCACCTATGATCGACATTTGCGACAAGACGAGGGTATGTTTACGCATTTATACTCATTCATTCATGGTGTAGAACAGGGTGACATCAGGATCAAAAGCGAGAATAAGACACACTCAGGTCGGAACGACAGGGATCAAACTCTCAGTAGCAACGGAGAGGTTTGTATTCTGCGTCTCTCAACAAGCTTTCGAAAATGGAAGGAGAAGCTTTCACTCCAAAGGTTCAAGCTTTTGCCTCCTAAAGGACATACCAAATTATGGCGTGACATTAATAGTTCATGCGTTTCAGCAAAACCAAGAAGAGAAACACTGCTAACTTTGATGCGTAAGTTCTTTGAGGAAATTTCTTTCTTATTTAGTACTTGTTCCTTATTTCTTTCTCTGGCAGGACACTAGAGAAGTACAGAAGCAACTACACGCACAGCTGGAGGTAACGTTTTCTCTTTTTTCTTTCCGGTGTAAAACTCTGGGTCCTGTTCTTTTCTCCAGCTCCAAATCGAAGCACAAGCCAAGAACTTGAAAAACATGTTTCAGTTCCAGCAAAAGGTTGAGGTGAACCAGCAGTGCAAGAAGGAGCCAAAGGAGGCTGCTCCAGCAGCACTGCGGTCGACAGAAACCAAGGCTGCAGCTCAGACGCCAAAGTGCCTTGAACCGGCCTCCAAGAAATCCAAGATTTCAGAAGAGCAAAGGCAAAATTCTATCACCATTGATGATGGGACGCAGAGATTGTATACTAGTTGTTTCATTGGCATTGCCTCTAGAAAAGGAGAGCACTCACCATACCTCTGGGAATAATTGTAATCTATTCATTTAATTTTCAGCTAGAACTTTCAGAGATCACGGACCTTATCGTTTCTTCTTGCTGCGCTCTTTGGAAGGTTTGGTAGCCTCCTCTTCAGCGTTGTGGTCGGCTTCAAGTCTCGCCAGCTGCAAATCAAACAATGCTGTTGTGAGGATTCCTTCTTGAGACACCACTTTACCTTGTGAAGGACGGGTTTAAGTTCTCTGTAGCGTGTCTTTGCCAAGTCAAATCCATCCTTCCTGAACTCCTGATAGATGCATAGAGCATGAAGAACGAGCGAAAGAAAACCTGCGTTGTCACCTTTCCAGTGTGTTGGGTGTGATCATAAGGTGCCATTTGCCAATACATGATCGTCCAAGAGAAAAAATCTCTCAGCGTTTCTCCAGGCTGAAAGACAAATCAATAACAAAACAGGAAGATGACTCACCAAAAGTGTTTGTTGGGAATCAGCCAGGCCCAGCTCGGATCGATCTTTAATTTCCGTGCTTTCTGTGTCAGCTTTTTGCCTTCGCCCCTAAGAATAGCAGCTGCCTCTTCACAGTGACTCCACTGCATCCTAGAATACAAAAGGAAACCGACAAGTTTTCTTACATCCTTCTTTTTTACTACCTCGTCATCGTCCTCTTCGTCTTTTCCTTTATTAATCGATCCAGCATCACTGTTGTCACCATCAGTTTCGCCTTTCTCCTTACTAGCTTCAATCCACGCGCTTTGTGTTTCCTGCTTGAGACATTAGTATGAGGCTGGATGATGGCTCGATCATACTAACCTCAATAATGCTCGAAGGTCCAGCGAGGAAAGGTCGTCGTGTCACTTTTTTTTTGCCGACTTCTTTCATACCTCCATACAGAAACAAAGTATCCTTTCCAACGACCATTCCAGCATTTATTCTTCCACAAGGCAACAACCTTCAAGCAGAACGCTCAACGTTGAGACGCATTTTCCACATTTGGATCAACCACTTTCTTCTGCTTTGGATGCACACTTAACCACTACACAATCTCAGATTGCCATACCTTAATCTTTAGGCTCTTTGGCTTGCGAAGCTCCAAAGGATACCTGCGAGCGATGGTGTTTAGATAATTTTAAAAAAATCGACGAGATACAAACCATCTGGAAAGCATATACATCTCGATCATAAAAACGCTGTGCAGGGAATCACCTGCAAAAGACATTAGTTTTTCCAACGCATGCATTGAAACCGTACTCATCAGCATCAACTACACCACCAAACAAGATGTGGACAAAAATCCTGCTCTTGGCCAGGAGCCAAACCGGATTTTTTCACCTTCACAAAACACATTGAAAAACTAAAACTCCAAACGAGAATGTAAAACAAGCAAACCTTGTCCCACTCCCAATCCGTGGATCTAACGTCCACATATCTGCGAGCACTACAGCTTTGTCGGATTGATCTTTGTCAGGGGCAGGCTCTTTGAAATAGCCACCGTACAAGAAAATCTAGAAAAGAAAAAATGTTCACAACACGCAAAACTATACTTTTAGTAGACAAATACCTCATCTAAATAAACAGCAAGCTGAGAACCAGTTCCAGCTGAAGGCCAGGCAGCTCCAAGCTTGGGTTTTATCTCTTGCCACTGCAAAAGGAAATCAGTTTAGTTGTTAAAAAACAAGGAAGAACGATGAGCGACAGAAACAAACCTTATAATCGTCTAAATCCAGCACTTAAAGATTATTGAAGTACCTGTGTCAAAAATTCAATACTAAACATCTACACTGCTGAAACAGCCGACCTTTCTTCCCTCAGCGTGTCATAAAATCCACCAAATAGAATAAGTTTATGTTTCTGTGGCAAGAAAGAAAAAAAAGATTATGTTTAGAAGCGCAATACATACCAATCTATGTCCGGAACGAGCACCTGGACAGCATTTTAGTTGAAGCTGCTCCTGCCAGATATTTGTGTTTAAATCCAGTCTCCATAAATCCTGCAAGAACTCTCTTGTAAGTCAGCTCGAAACACACCTTATAGTGATGAAACCAAATTCACCACCTACACTGCCAAAATCAAGAGAAGTCCTGGAAAAATACATCATACCAAACATGAAGAGCCAGTTTTTCCACGCAACCGCCTGGTGAGCGCTTCTCGGTGACAGGCTTCCACTCGTTCTTCTCGATGTTGTATCGGTAGAGATCGCCATAAACGTAAAGTCTAGCATAGCAAACACGAAGGTTAAATCACCGTAGCAAAACTAATCACAAACCTTGTCACCATTGTTGTATTCACCTCCATAGACGATCAGCGCAGTGTCCTTGACGGGATTTACAGTCACCTGAAACGCAAGGAAAGAAGAATTCTAGAGAATGTGAGCTTCCAGAGTGGAGATTTCAATCGAGTTCTTACGCACAGAGCAATTGCATTGTGGTGAAGGAGCTGCTACATTCTCATCGCCATGAATTTCGCTCTTCTTTGCTTTCTCCTTGTGGAGTTTAGCCTGACAAGAAGGAAAACGATTGAGAGTCTTTGGCCAGAGCTTTCCTTACCAAGATCGCATCAATATCATCCTCGTCCCACACCTTCCTCTCCGCCGCCTTGGCCGTCTTGCTCGAAGAACCCTAAAACCTAAATTAACTCTTGCTTGTACTGTCCGCTTTGCTTCCATACGATGGCTTTGCTTCCACAGCTGGCATATGCTTTGCTTCCACTTTCTTAGTGCTTTGCTTCCACAGCTGGCATATGCTTTGCTTTTCTTCCACAGCTGGCATACTTTCTTTAGTGCTTTGCTTCCACTGCTGGCAAGGTTCACTTTTACAAGTTTACTCGTGCTCTCAAACTTCCATGGAGGAGGAGCGACGAGAGTTGATCCACTGTTCCTCTGTCAAGGAGATCAAGGAGGCTCTCGCAGCGAAGCGGGACAACAAGCGGCACTTCAATGCGATTCGGTTTTATTGTGGGGAGATCTGGAGGCTGGAGGCGCTTGACGCATCCAAAGGTGAGTTTGTTGATGAGGTGAGTGCTACCGTTGAGGGGTTTGGAGGCACAGAGGAGGATCTGATTGGTGTGCTCAACTGGTGCATTTCAAATTCACCCTGGTCAGACGAACCGGTTTAGACAGGGCTCTGGATGTGGGAGATGCTCCTGGTGATGGCAGTTCGTCTGCTGCTGCTGCTGCTGCTGCTCACATTGACATTCTCAAGGCCGCTTTGGTACCACAGCTCGACATCAGATTCATCCACATCGCTGCCAGGGTCGCTTGTAGGTTGGGCATTCCCAGTGATCGAATGCAAAGGGTGGCAGAGGGCATTGCTCCTCCTCAGCAGGGACAGGATATTCGCCAGATTGAGGTGCAGAGGTTTGCAAAGCTACTGACGATGACAGAGGAATTCAAGGTCTTGAAAGAGCTACGTTTCGAATGGCGAGGCAAAGACATCCTCACACCACCTCAGGAGCTTGAGTTGGCCTTTGCTCAGCTCGACTGCTTGACAGAGCTCAGGTTGCACAGGGTTGGGAACCCAGAGACTCTCCTTAGCCAACTCCTTAGGAAAGCAGGAAACAACTTGAAACATCTCGTGTTGGAGATGAACAGGATGACAGTGGAAGGATTTGGGAAATTGAGTAGGGATCTGGCAAGTCAGGAGTGCAAGGTGGAAATTTTAGTCATCTTTGATAAGGACATTGGCAAGGAAGGGTGGGAACAGGCATTTCAGAATGGCATTTTCAATAAGCTAGTGGCGCTGGTGGCATGGTTTCCAGAGGGGGCAGGTGAGGCACTCTTCAAGGCACTCACTAGTCCAAGCTGTTCGCTGCAAAGACTAGACCTATCTTGGGAAAGTGATGCTGGAGTGTTGCCATGGGTATGCAAGGCTCTTCAGGAGGGCACCCGCCTGTCAGTTTTAGGTTGCCGAAGTGAGGACCTGAGCAATGCAACGGGCCTGGGTGAGGCCCTGAGCAGCGCTAAGTGTGGCTTGGAGGAACTCATCGTTACTCTTTATCCAGGTGATGGTGGTGGATGGTTGGGCAGAGCGCTACAAAATCCCAATGGCAAGCTGATCAAGCTTCATCTTTATGTACTTGATCGGCTAAACGAGGGAGGAGGAATGGTCTGTGACAGCAGTCTGTGGTCAGCTCTCTCAAGTCCACATTGTAAGCTGCGCCATTTGGTAATAAGTGGTCGTAGCAGGACAGAGTTACCGTTGGAGATTGCCAAGGGCATAGAGAAGAGCCAACTGGAGCATTTGGGTATACGGGAGTGCAAAATCACGAATGGGGAGCTCTTTTGGAAAGCTATCACCAGCTGCAAGTCTCTGAAAGCTTTGTCATGTAACTCGGAACTGCCATGGAGGTGCCTTTTGGGAAGCAGCATTGAAGACTTGGAAATACGTCAGGAAGAAATTGAAAAGCTGGAAGAGCTTTGCCAGTTGCTGGGGGATCCAAAATGCAAGGTGCGCAGATTCAGGGCTCTTCTTCTTAGAAGTGATGCACAGAAAAGACAAATTCTGGCTGCCCTGGAGGAAAACTACCAAAGCCTTGTGGAAGAGCTTGATATAGGCAATGATTCCGAAGCTTCTGAAGCATTCAAGCAGAGGTGTTCTGGTCTTTTAGAGCGGAATGCAATCTTCCAGCAGAGTGCATTCAAAGACTTTGACAACCCGTCAACAGCAAAGCTCTTCTTGTGTGGTGCTAGCAGGGTTGGAAAGACCACAATAAAAAAAAACCTCTGCCGCAGAGTGTCTTGGTTTCCATCATGTCTCCAAAGGCATGCTTCAACAGCAGGCATTGAGCTGCAACCACTTGTCTATGCGACCACCAAACAAAAGCTGCTCATTTGCGACCTGGCTGGACAGGAAGAGTTCCATGCTTTCCACCAGTACTTTCTCAGAGGAAGTGAGAAGGATCTCTTCTTGATCGTATGCAAGGTGGAGGATGACAATTGTGACGTTTTCAAGCAGAATTTGGTTTACTGGCTGAGGTTCATCGCTTCACATCAATCAGCCTCACCCAAAAGGAAGCCCAGGGTCTTGATTGCCTTGAATTTTTTCACTCGAAAATGCAGCTATGACCCAAAGAAGGTGGTTT